AGGGCCCGTGGAGCAAGGTGGGCACTGATTGCACACAAGACAGGCTGAGCGTCGCACGCTCCCTCTGCGGCCAATCACAGAGCAGCTACGGTGCAATCGGTACACCCCCCATAGCCTAGGGATGCACGCAGGGAGCAAAAACGCCCTAGCCTGGGAAAATGTCCTGGGTCAGCAACCTTGCGACCCACCGAGATGAAGGAGGCCCCTAATGCAGCCCCCTTGCTGGCCCATCGCGGCTTCCGGCCCTTTTGATGTCACCTCTATACCACATAGGGTCGTAGGGACTCCACAGTACATACCTAGCGGGGACTGGCCCCTTGCTTCATGACAGTTGCCACCCACACAATGTCCCCAATGACTCTAAGCAACCTTGGCTTGCAGAAAGTGATTTGCATAAACAACATTTTCCTTATCTAAACAAATCGAGCTGGAATATGCAAATGGAGCGAGCTGCAGGAAGGACAAACAGGCTGTAAACATGCCCCTTAAAGTGACAGTCACTTTAGCTCAAATAAAGCTAAAGCTTCCGGTCAGAGGAACGTTTCCAAAAATCTAGCAAGTCTGCCTTTCCTCATCCTCCAGGCTAAGCAGGCCCCATTGCGCGGCCGTAGAAGCGGTAACACGACTTTTGCAAATGGGATTTAAGCTCCTAAATCTCAGGGCAGATTCCAAAGATGTTACTCAGCAGGTTTACGGCCCTCCCTGTTCTGCAGACCGCCGAAGGCCACGCGTAAGTATTTTGCTGCAAGGGATGGATTCTTACTCAGGGCCTGACTGACCAAGCCAGATGTTTGCAACTTTCCGTAATAAAGGAAACGTGGTTCCATGCAGCAGCTTTTGTAGCTACGTTTCAGGTGAGAGCACCTTGTTTACAATCAAGGTGTAAGTGACCGATCCACTGCCCACTGATGTCAACAGGCGTGTGCCCATCGATTCCCATAGGCAAGATGGAAAAGAAATTGGGGATTTTTTTCTTTATGGATAAAAAGGGGCCCAAAAGGGTTTTGTTTTCTAGTTTTTTAACATTAGAATTCAGGTCTTGTCAACATCCTTTTCCCCAGGGTACTCTGTGGACAACTGGAGAAGTAATAGGATGATGCTGTCATAGACGCCGGGTGAGTGAGCACTCATATGGTTCATAAGTCTCTGCTCTGGGGGGGGAGGGGGGTTGAACACCCATTTCACTAAAATACTCTCACCACAGCTTGGTCCATGAAGAGCTGAGACGCTGAAGATCTGCGTCTCCATGTCCTCCGTGGGATACTTACTGCCAGACAAGGGGAGGCCAGACTTGATTTTCCCGGGTTAAGAACCAAGCCGACAGAAAAGCTCTGTAGCGAAATTCTTGACAGGCCTTCTTGGTACTGTCCATCCGACCAGCATCAAATTGGGCATACGCTCTGTTCCTGTAGCTCCAGATTTCCAGTGGCAGAGTCGGCAGGTCCACCACGCCGGGGCCGGAGGGGTGGTGTCAGGATAGGTGCGGGGGAAGCAAAATGGGGGTAAAAACATCACTCCTCACTTGCCCCTCCCCCTCTAGCTTGGGACAATGTTACAAAGTGTCGGCAGGAAGCTGGTTTCACAACCACCGCCCTTGCTGGGGATTTGCATAAGAGCCTGTTGTCGCCGTGGTAGCGCCCGGGGCAGGCTGTGTGCAGACAATGCCACCCGTCCATCGTGGGGGGAGCTACGGGCAGAGTAGCCAGGACAGGTTCCAGCTCGGTCAGCGGCTGGGTTCCTGACTCGGATGCATCCCTGCACCAGGGCCGTGCACCAAGCACCTGATGGCACCAGTCCAGCACCTCCAATTCGGTTCTGCGCTGGAATGGAGTAAGTCACCCACCCTGCGCTCAGGAAAAGCGCGTGCCCAGCCGGATAGGAAGTGGGCAGCATGGTGCCCAACCCAGACGGGAAGGTAGCAAGTACCACCAGCCTGAGGCCGCAGTGGGGTGTGATCGGGGAATAACCGCAATAACTGGCGTGCATCCTTCCCCCCCGCCAAGCCTAACCTGTACACGGCCTAATCCGCTACCCAGGCCCAATCCCAAGGGGCAGCCGGGCGGAGCCAGCAATGGGTCCAGTCTTAGCACCGTGAACCAGACGACAGAAACCCTGCCTCATATTCCTGGTTCTGCCACTGGCGTTCTGTGCGGGAGGCCGTGGGGGAGTCGCATCACTGCTCTGTCCAGCGCGGATGAAGACCCTGGCCTCCCCTTGGGAAAGCACTTGGGGGCTGTCGATGGGCGTGCGGCTGTGGCCGTGTCGTTATTCCCCTGGAAACACAGTCCTGGGAGCCCGGCGCTGTTGTGAAAGCACACGCAGCACAAGCACACGGATGCACAGCAGCATCAGGGACTGAGTCCTGGCCAGTGGGAGACTATGAGGAGCTGCAAGCTGAGCTGGTGTCCTCAGACCCGGAATACCCCGGGTGCTCCCCAAGCCACGGCCTAGCCATTGCCCCGGCACGTCACTGCTCGTTGCCCCGCCGCGTGGGCGGGCCAGCGCCGGCCAGACGGGCCCGCAGCCGAGTGGAGACGTGCTGGGCTCTCGCCTAGGTGGGATTTTTCCCCGAAGCTGAGCTTTCGGTTTGACACTTGTTTGTTCTTCACAGGAAGCTGAGGGGAAGGCCCCTTTCTCAGACAGCCTCAGGCAGCCAGCAAGACCTGCC